AAGATAGCTCCTGGATAAACACCCACTTAATTAAGGACAATTCCAATACTAATACGGAGACGACCGGAAGCCTCGGGGTATTTAAATTTATCAACACTGACATATGGGGACCGAGTCCGTAAAGCAAATCCTTATTGGCTAATATGTTCCAATAGCAATTCCGATCTAAAATCAACCACCAGATATTAAAAAGGAGAATTATCCTAGTAGCGCCGGGGTAAATTAATTATTCAAAGGCCGAGCCATATGCATATAAAACCTTACATGCGCTAAGCAGAACGGAATACTACCAGCTTCGGATACGACCAGCACTGGAACATGACTTACATATTATGAGCTTACCAATCACCTAATCCGTAACAGGCATCTGGGTGATGTCTTCCATCTTAGTTTCTATCTATGGTGCAATATCATTCAACGCTCTCATTTTATTTATATTTTTACATAAGCCTTATTTTTATTCTTAGGTATTTGCCTAATTTACCTAATTTTCCCTATTATATTAGACTTGAATAGAGGAAGCATAAACGAGAGATCGTCGTGTTGACACCTTGGTATCGTGGATATTGTGGGTCCGAGAGCCCTGATATTCTTGAAGCCATCATGAGCCCTCAACCTGAGTCTTCCAGTGGCTCTCTCTTCAAGACTGGCCCGGGAGAGCTTGTCGATTCTAAGGATTGGCCCTCAGTAGATGATTCTGCCACGGAGGAGACACCGCTCCTGCGCTCCGAGTCGAGTTCTCCGGCCGCGGGCAGTGTATCATCTGCCACCTCTGAACACTCGCAAGATGAAGACTTTCCTGACTTGGACACCCCGAACCAGAGGGTTAGTCGGGCACGAGGCTTAGCTATCATACTTAGCGTCTACCTTCTGATCTTCTTACAAGGTAGGCTCGACTTCAAGCCCCTGTTCGTCAGTAATTACTTGCTTAATACTAACGCTGTTAATAAATAGCAACCAACATGTCGGGTATTACCATGGCGCAGTCAACGATAGCAGCTGACCTGGACTCGTACGAGAACGCAATGTGGTTCACGACAGCGTTCCTCGTAGCGATGTCCTCGTCGACACCCCTGGTAGGGAAGTTGGCCTCTATCTTTTCGCCTCGTACCATGGTATTATATTCATCTACGCTCTTCGCTGCTGGATGCTTCATAACGTCGCAGGCTCGCTCATTCCCGGTCTTCATCCTGGGGCGACTCGTTACGGGGCTAGGTGCCGGCGGATCTACGGCCTTGGCTATCGTCCTCATTCTCGAGCTAACAACGAAACGAAAGCGAGGATTGTTCGTTGGGCTGCTGTAAGTTGTCATATGGATTACTTCAATTATATCTACTATATATCGATATATATTTAGGGTATAACGGTTTCTAATATTGTTGACTAGGAATGCCGGCTTCACGACGGGTGTTTCATTAGGAGCTGTCTTATCCGGTGCGCTGATATCTGTAACTGGTTGGGTAAGGGTGCCATCTTCCCTGGACTGAAATACACGAACTCACATCGTCATTTAGAGAGTTCTCTTTTGGGTCCAAGTCCCTCCTAGCTTAATCGCTGGGGTCGGAATTTACTTCAGTATCCCGCATACGTTCTCGTCGGGGCAAGGCTCTAAAGACGGTTCGCTATCCACAAAGCTGAAGCGAATCGATTATCCAGGCGCTCTGTTTTTGGTAAGCTTCTAGTTTAAACGCATAGTTACATGTAAATCGACCCTCCGCTAATCTCATGCAGACCGCCACTGTTGTGCTTTTCCTATATGGGCTATCTGGTACTATTCAGGTCGTTCCGCTTATCACCTCGTTGGCGACACTTATCATCTTCGTGTTGATTGAGTACTATGTTGCGGTTGACCCTATTATTCCGATTACTGTCATTCAGAACAGAGGCGCCATATTGACATGTGTTTCCCAACTTGGTTTCATGGCAGCTCGCTGGACGGTGTTGTTCTATGCTCCGATCACAGCACTCGCGGTGCGCGGCTTCACCCCGGCGACCAGTGGTAGTATTCTTATACCCACGAACTTAGGGTTTGGCCTGGGTGGACTTCTTGTTGGCGTAAGTTGTTCTTATCCTTGTTAGCTTTGACAGTTCACTAACGGCGCTCTAGGGACTGCATGTTCGCCGCATTGGGAGCTTCTGGGCTTCTTGCATCATATCTTTCATCCTCTTCGCTGCAAGCCTCTTTGCGCTCTCGCTGGCATCTACTCCAGATATCCCGATTGCGCTATACATCATTACCGTCTTCCTAAACGGCCTCTTCGCTGGTGCAGCGTTAAATTATACACTTGCGCATCTACTGCATCTAACTCTGCCGGATACCCACTATATAGCTACCAGCCTGCTCGGCACATTTAGAGGATTCGCGGGCAGCTTTGGTAGCGCGATCGGTGGTGGCATCTTCTCTAGGACCCTACGAGCGTCCCTCGAAAGAGGATTCAAGTCAATTGATGGCCCTAGCAGTCCTGAAGACCGCAGTGAGCTGATTAGGAAGCTTATCGGCAGTCCAGCGTTGGTATTCAATGGCGGCCTTGGAGCCAAAGAGCAGACAATCGCGGTACAAGGTTACGTTGATGGGCTGAAGATTCTATTCCATGCTGCTGTGGTTCTGTCCATAGTCGTTTCGGTTGTCCAGGCTGCTACGGGGTGGAAGGGTCCAGGAGATAAGATGAAGTCCCGGGAGAGCGGGAGCAGCAATGCTCTACGTGACGAGGTGAGTGAAGATAGACAGTAGTTCAGTAGATAAATTATAGACTTTCCTTATTTAACTCCTAAGTGATAAAATATCCTTGTCAATACCAATATCCGTGCTATATCACTATTAAATAGGGGAGGTGAAGAACTCGGTCGTATTACCCCTCAACTAACCTTCGGATCTGATGTGACGTTCGTACATAGGTACCGAACAACGGACAGTGCAAGCACTGTATGACTTCGTCATTCTATCATTTAGCTACTGTCAGTTTGGAGAAAGAACTCCAACTATATCGTCAACCAAGCTCGCGATTGGTGGGAGATATTGTTCATTACAACTTCCCCGCCAAGCGGAGTTGTATAAGCGATACGGGAGTTGTTTTGCATGAAGGGGTCTTATATAGGTATATTTACTAGGTCCTGTCTATAGTTTATATTATCAAGAAGCTGGTTCTCAGTTCTTATTCTACTTATCACGTAACTACCTGTTAATTGAACAAGTTCATAGCCGCGAAATGTCTACTACAGAGACGATCACCAAGACAATTCCATCCTTCTCCATCGCTGAGATAACCTCGGTTAATGGGTCCAACGGAAAAGAAAGGGTTGAGAACCCTCCCCAAGTCCAAGTCGCCGGTACGACGAAGAGCGGGAAGAAACTAAGCATCAGGACTTATCCCAAGTTCGAGAATCTAGAAGACGAGCGGCTCTATCGGAAACAGCACCTAGCGGCAGCATTCCGGGTCTTCGCCGACCGCGGCTTCGACGAGGGTGTTGCGGGGCACATCTCTGTCCGGGATCCCATTCTAACCGACCATTTCTGTAAGTCAAGTCCCAAGCCCGTAAGAATTCACGTTTCTAACCCTAGTCTTAGGGCTGAACCCGCTCTCGATGCACTTCTCGCTGATCAAGGTGTCCGACCTGATCCTTTGCGACGAAGATGGCAACGTGGTCGAAGGCGACGAGCCCGTGAACGCAGCCGCTTTCGCAATTCATTCACAGATTCACAAGGCGCGGCCGGACGTGCATGCGGCGTGCCACGCGCATAGCGTCCATGGCAAGGCGTTTTCGGTCTTCGGCCGGGAGCTGGAGATGATTACCCAAGATGCCTGTCGCTTCTACAAGAGCCACGGAGTGTACCGGGACTTCAGGGGCGTGGTTCTTGACAGCGAGGAGGGAAGAAGAATCGGAAAGGCCCTTGGAAACGGAAAGGCTGTTATCCTCCAGAACCACGGCCTACTTACTGTTGGCGGTAGTGTCGATGAAGCGGCCTTCTGGTTCATTAGTCTTGAGAGGACTTGCCAGGCTCAATTACTCGCGGATGCAGCTTCGGTTTCGGGACACAAGAAGATTCTCATTGACGACGATGAAGCTTCTTATACTTCTCTTCAGGTTGGAGGCCCTGAGAAGGGATGGCTTGCTTTTCAGCCATGTAAGATTTTACACCCGTCCACGCTCAACCCCAAAGCTTTACCTCCCCTTTTTTCTTTTTCCACAGCACCATGATATCAGTAGAGATTATCTCTAACATGTGCCAGATTATGATGAGCAGCTTGCAAAAACGAAAGGCGAATTTTTAAATTAATACTCTGGCGCTTCTCATCTTCTAGCTAGGTACCTACTTATGTAGTGCCAGTCTACAAAAATGGATAACTACGGGGGAAGATCACAACGGCTTGTGTTTCCTATTTACACCTTACCTATTGAGAAAGCTTTCATGGAAAGGTAACTGCCTATTCATAATTGATACTGTACACAGACCTAGCTATGCGGTGGCTTAGCTCTACATTCTCTTTCATATGACCTAGGTACGTGTAGTCACACGCGTATAACTACCTACCTACCTACCTACCTCCTATATAGGTCTGTACCTCAAATACGTAGCTTATACCAATGTCTCATAGCTCCTACTGAAGCGAAAAAGAAATACGCAAATTTGACCAAGTGTTTAGATTGCTATGAGCATGTGTTCATACAGTTCATCCCTTGTGGTATCATGAGCTGTCATTATGACTTGTCTACCTACCTATGTATAACGTTGCTTAGCAACGCCGCCGGCTCCCATGCCATAAATACAATCACTATCCTCATATTCTAGCATTTATGGAGCTAAGGCTTTCCGATCAAAAGAGAGATCAAAATCCGACCAAGTCATCCAAACCCGATTGAATCTTTCGTTCACCCTAAAGCGCTCAGTTCGAAACTATAGATCGAAACTCTTAGCCCACTCTCAAAAATATCGGGTTTGTTCTAAACCATTGTCATTAGTTTCTCTCATCATATCCCATTTCTATATCCTTCCCTCCAAGATGGCAGGAAAACAGGAGCAGGCGGAAAATGCTACAATCAAAGCCAAGGTATCTAACGATATCGTAGAAATGTACAACAGAAACATCCCGCTATTCACAAAAGAGAGTATGCTACAAATCGCCATGCAGCTTGAAAAGTACAGAGACTATGAGCTAGAATGTATTCAGCTCCACCTCACTAATATGAAGGGAGAAGATGTCGAAATTACCCTCGACCCAAACAAGCCGCCAGTTTGGGTAGATAGGCGGTGCAACCATGGTTACAAACGGTAACAACTTTATAAAATTACTTTTTCTTTTCCAATTGGAAGTTATATACTAACTTCTCACAAGTGTTGGCCCGTACATATACTACCGTTCAATACAAAACATCCTCGCTCAGGAAGACATGATAGCTCCCGACCCCCAGAAAGCTTGTCTCGGAATAGGGGTTACGTGGCCAGGCCCATGCCCAGCGGTACACCGCTACAAGATGCCTTCACTCGATGCAACTCTATCCGCCGTCTTCTCTACAGCGGAGCTAGGTCAAGTATTCAACAGCGTGAGACAGCAGTGGGAGACGAGCGAACAGTACAACCAGCTCAAAAAGCTACTCAAGTCGAAAAGAACCCAGTTATCCAGCGTCAAGAAAGTCGTTGCTTTCGCCCTGGGCACGCTAACCAATGGCTCGAGGATTTCAAACCCGTCGATGGTCCAGCACGCGCTTGTCCTCAGTCTCCAGCAGATGCTGTCGAAGACGAAAGGGGGCGACAACAGGATCTCCGGGATATTCCAGGCCATTAAGGGCTCCTTGTCGAAGAGCAAGGCGGCTGGGCCTCCAATCCCGTGTTTTGCGCAAGATCCGGCTTATTTGCCCCGAGACAAGACGGTCTTGTCGGAGGCAGGAATCACGGTTATAGAGGACCCTTGGGCGTTTTTGGAAGTGGACCATACGAGTCTCGTGGTGTCTGTTGATCCTAACATTCCCGTGCGACAGATCATCGCTGATATCGCACGTCCTGCGGCCATTATCCAACACAGAATGATGGAGATGAATGGGCCAAAATCCCTAGCTTGGTAAGTTTTACTCCTTGCTTTTTCGATATTGGGGAATACTGCTAATCGCTTACAAATACTTGTAGTGCTGATCACTCATCCACGCGAGTCCAACGGATGCTGGAAGATGAGTACGACGAGGAACATATGGCATATCATGAGTCTTTGCACGATGTTGTCATGTACATCAGAAAGCCCATCCGCGAGTAAAAATCATGTAACCAACTTTTTAGTTCATTTTAAACTAGGTACCTACCTAGGTAGCTATAGCTATTTCCATTAGAGCTAATTACTCCATGTCGCTAGGTATATCTCAAAGCCAACAACCGCATATACATGCCTATTCTGTCGTATCATAATAACCTAACCCACGCTCTCAAAAGGGGAAAATACCTAGTCCCTGAAAACCACTCATCCCCCAAAAAGGAAAAACAAGACCGAATTCTCGACGGTTATAAAATTGTACGGAACTCCAAATCTAAGCGCCACGAGAATAGGTATCAATATTTTAAAGAGCGTGGTGATACTTTTCCGCAATCTCGACCTTTTTTTAATTTTTTTTTTCTTTTTAGAAATCGCCGCTCGCCACCTCCTGAAGCAGCAGCTAGCGGGGCCGTCCGCGCCCCGGCCTGGTTTTCAATCATCGTCACCGCAGCAGATCTTGTTGATCCAATACGCGCAGCAGCCGCAGGGTTCTCTGGCGCAGTTTCCCGTGTCCCCGCCACGGAACGTGAATTCGCTGGTCTCGCTCCCATCCGGTCCGGCTTGGGTGGCTCTAGGTTTACCCCGTAGCACGAGGTCCGCCTGCCACCTTTGCGGCTGTGGCCCCTGGGTCGAGCTCTGCTCCTGTTGGTTATCCTGGCCGGTTCGTTTGGTGATGGTCTTCTTGGTAGCAGCCGGCTTGGCCGGTTCTGGCTGATCGGCGTGGGACTCTCCAGTCATCGGAACCAGCGGGATGTCCTCGTACTCCGGCTCGCTACTCTTGCTGCCCCTTTGAGCTGCCGGGATATTCGATCCTGACTTGTCAGAGCCGTGTTGACACAAGCTGCTAGGACGGTTATTAGAGAGATATAGAGCTTCACGGATGCTTGATGATGATGATGGGGCTAAGGATAACGCACCCAAACAATCTTTGCATACGCTTAGAGCCGCTGGCATTCCCGCAGCTCCGGCTTCTGACATTTCCGGTGTTATCACCTTCAGAGGCATTTTCGTGTTGGGGTGCGCTGCTGCTATCTTGAGCGAGGCTCCCATGTTGGGGCTCGGCAGTCATCGGGAGATGAGGTTGAGGTTCTTTTCCAACGGTGCGATCCATTTTTGCCGTGATATTACGTAGGTGGTATAAATTAAACGATAGACTGTGCTGTGTGTTATTCGGCAATATTCGACGGGATACTTGATGCTTGGGTCCAAAATTAAATGATAGTCAGCTAGATAATTCGTCAATGTTGTAAGACGTAAGAGAGAGGAGAGAGATTTTGTAGGCAGAAGCCTCTCCTCCCTCTCTTTCTTGCCCTGGCTCGGCCATAGTTTCCATCCGCGAGCGAGTGAATAAGGAAGCCATGGTGAAGATATTCGTTTTATACTCGATATCAGGTAGGAAACATCCGACGTCCAACGCGTTAGGCAGGTATACCTAATGATATAACTAATGACGTGTATCCCCAGTGGTGCGTCCCGTTGAGTTCATTTCTGTTAGCGACCCTGGGATTCGAGGTAGCCAGCTGAGACCAACGTTTCACGAAATGCTGGCATACATGTAATCACACACACCATGATCCTCTATTAACTCACCATATTCACAATCAATACGAAAAGTAAGCGGGAGCGTATGAGTCGATAGGAGTCGTATAAGTAAATTAATGCTTGACCTAAGCGTTTCGCTGCGAGGCCTTAGAAATGGGCCAACGGCATAAACCAATATGCTCATCACGCCGGTTTCAATATTAAGCGCTGGTGATGCGGCATGAATACTCTTCATTTCCAAGTAAGCGCTAAGCCCATGATACGATTCACCTCACCGAAACCGCCGTGGCTAATGATTATTTGCATTTAAGCTTCAACTGATTGAACGATAGGAGCAGTTAATTTTAAGAATTCCTTTCCCGAGTTTGTCGTGGCTTTCTTCCATTTCGTGTAAGTGCTTGCGCGTATTGCTTAAGCCTTTTAAGGCTCATTTCAAAAACCGCGCCGCATTTCTTACACACCTCAGGCACTTCATTAATGCACTTTCAACATATGCACCGGATATTACATTGTAGGAAATGACTAGATATTTTGCTCAACTCTACTGCAGGTTCCCAACGGGGATATCTTCATGAGCTCATAGATTGCCGAAGTAGTTTACCGCTTTTCAAGTTTCGATGTCCTACTTATACCTATACCTCTTCCCAAAAATAGTTTAATCACCATATCTTCATCAGCCTTGTCTACGGATAGTGCTTATTCGTTGATATGTTACTGACATTACACTTTGCTGGGGCTAGTAATTGGTAAGTTATATAATATATAAATATGGTATCCATGAAGACTTCTTAGGGTCTTATATTCAACCTATTTCCGTTATCATCTTCAAAGTTAAGTGTGTATTCTAGCATCCGCTTGTGTTTACCTTAACATGATGACTAGGATTGTCTGACACTATCATCTCCTATAAAAGGGGTGTAGTACAGGGTTGTGACTAATAGAGACAGTATTGTGGAAAATCCCGTCTCTCCCGATATATTGTTCCTAGAGCATGACTATGATGCCTTATTCCAGCCATTCGGCGTTGATTTCCGAGTCTTACAGTTTCTAGGTAGGTAGCTGACTACAGTAGGTGATATTATGACTCTAGGTTGGAGATTTTATCCATTGTATCTACCTAGTTACCTTAACGAGCACCATTTGACAAGCATTTTGCGAGTATTATGTTTGTACCTTATTGTTACGATTAAAACTTGTTAGTCATTCAAGTATATTTCTTTCTCTATGAGTGATGATAAAATTATAAGCACAGTAACATTTCTATTAAACATTAATAAATACTATAAAATATGCCTATCTAAGTACTTGATGCATGTTACCGTACAGCCCCTTTTAACCAATAGCAACCCATTTTATTTAACATCCATTAAGCGAGTCTTATATCTATGGTCGAAAACTAGGCAACACTTGAGAAAACATAGGGCAGATGTAGAATATACCTAGGTGTCTAGCGATTATAGTATATTACAACACGGCATTAAGCAGCTTAAAGGCTAAGTGCCACTATAGCCTTACTTTACAAGTAGTAACGTACCAGTGTTCTTAAGAGGCTCTTATAAGCTCACCCACCAAATTAAAAGTGATATTAGTGAGTTTTCCATGAACACTGACTTCAGCTATCAGATATGTAAGGAACATAAGCTGTAGTCTAAGAGTCCAATCAAACCATAAACATACCTTTTCTACCTTATGTGTAAATGGCATGACATGACATGTATCATAAGTTATAAGATATAATAAACGAAACCTCGTTCATTATATTAAGTTCTGAGTCATCTGAGCGGCTATCGTGACGTAATACATACCCGGTTGGCTAGTTGAGGGACTTGAAGTTGGGCAGATCTATTTTCAGATACTCTAGAAAAGAAGGGAGATGAAGATGCAAAAGCATGAAGATAACGGAGCTCATCCTACCGCATCTTAGCGTAATCATTATGATGATTTAATGCACATGGTTAAAATAAATAGAAGAGCGTTCTGATATAAGCCAGTTGATTCGTCTCGCACGGCGAAGGATCAAGGTTAGCGAATAGACAACCAGATAAATGATCTGGGATATGTAAATGGTGACACCGTTGGGTAGCATTGGCGGTTCGCTACGCGGGCAAAGGAATATACTGGTTCCGCCGTCAGCCCGGCTCGGTCCCGGCGATTTGAAACCATTTATTAAGCTGGAGAATCTGCAAGGCCGGCAGTTTGGGGGAACACGGGGGGTCACGCACATGGTAGTATTGTATAGCTTGTTACTAATCTTAGTTTACCTGCTTGGGTCTCCTATTGAGGTGCGTCTGTGGGATTCTGGGGATGCAATGACTACCTACCTACCTGTCTCCTATGATACTTTGATGTTTGATGATAGCAAATGCTACACAACTGTGCTCCTTTTAAAACCTCGTGAATTGAAAATATAACATTTCTTAAAATACTGAAACGTACTTTATATCCAGCTACTAAAACAGTAGACTTAAATGTGTATCCCGGCTGTGCTGCTATATTTGTACTTCGGCTCCGTTATCTGATACCATATAGGGGTTGATCTTTCAATATTGGTTACCTAACGATAGGATATTTACTACGAGCATTATTAAATGTACTAATTACCTGGGCAGCGCAGAGCTTTGTAATACCTCCGGGGAAATTAAATCGGCCATAGATGAAGAAGTGACGTTATTGGAGAAATGCTGTCTTACGTTCGGAATGTTATACGACTTATTGAACATGGCTTATGGCGGTCTGGGCGGTGAGGGTATATGATATATTCATTAAGAGCCACAGGCGAACTGCTGGATCATGATCAATACCTGTCTTATTCAAACACTCCAAAACCCATGTCTACCTATATCACACACACACACACACACACACACACACACACACACATGTTCCGTAGTATTGTGCCCTTCCCCTCACGTGTGACACGCAACGGCTACACCGGTTCGCACGTATTGGATGTTACCCAAATTATAACAAGCCACTAGAAAGAACTGATATATTTATGACAATCTCCCAATCACAGGGCCCATCCTAGTTGATGACTCTGTGAAGTTACACAAAAAAGAAAAAAAAAAAAAAGCGAAAAGGCGTCTCTCCGCCACCTCTCTAGGTAACTTACGCATTGCCACAAGTATTTATCAGATACATGATTAAACCCTTCTTGCGAATAGGTAAGCCTACCTTAGGTAGATATGTACCTACTTCTCCGTTTAAAGGAACCCATGCGATTGGGCAGAAAGATGAACGAGCCCTTCTAGCCCGGTCCTACGAAACAAATATGGCCTACGTGATGATGATTCGGCAAAACATAAAAAACTTGGAGTCTTCAAGAGATCGACCGAGAAGGATTTCTAGACGGACTCGATAGACTGTTTTTTTATGTAGCATCTGCGACCACGATTCTCACCACCCAGCCCATGTGTGTAGGTACGCATCGGCACATGTCTCAACGATCTGACGGCACGAAGCGGCGGTACCCAGATGTAACGCACCCCCCGTCTACCAGCAGTTCGGTACTCCCGCGGAACAAGTGGCGACGTGAGCAAGTCATGCTTGCGCGCTGCAGTCCGCGACGCGGTAATGCACATCTTTGCCCTATGCCGTAACACTTCCCGCGCATTGACCCTACCACACCTACCCGCCATACCTCTCCGACCGACTGACACGCATTTAAAGCGAGAAGGAATCCTTCAGCATAGGTAGGTACATGCAGTTTTCCGAACGGGATGGGAGAGGCTGCGTCGATCGCATTGGTTCCCGCCTCGCTCGATGTGACTTCGCCGACCTGTTAGGCGGAGGCTGACTGAAGCAGCGAGATCTGTAAGAATTTTTTATAACTTCAGCCCGGGCTGCTGTCTCCCCTTTGCCTGTCTGATTTCTATTCGATCCGCTTTTCTTACCTTGTCTTCGATGCGAAGTCAGCCGGTCAGTCACCTATGCCTATATTTCTGTTAGGGGTCGAGTCAGGATGAGCGAGAACGCAGTGGTGCCGGTGCTGCCCGCCGAGAATGGCATACACGTATGGAGGACGGCTATAGTGATGCCTTTCATCACTTTTATGTTTGTGGTCGCGCGATTCTATTGTAGGATCTACATAGTAAGACGACCATGGGCTATCGATGACTGTAGGTCTTGTCTCTCCGACATTCAACTGGGATTTCTCTTATTAGTTGGAATAGATGTCGTGGCAGCGACGATGGTCAGTGTTATCGTCCACGCTATACTCATGGGCGTCGCTACTCATCACGGTATGGGCCTGCACATATGGCAATTTACGCCGGAGCTGAACTCGGAATACTATCTCTGGATCGGCATCTCCTCGGAATTCTACGTGGCGAGTCTAGCCGGCTTTAAGTGCGCTCTACTCCTGCTCTATCTGCAGCTCTTCGGCATCAATCAGAAGTTCAGAATAGCATGCTATCTCACCATGTTTTACACGCTTGGCTATCTGACTTGCAACGCCCTTACCGAGTTTTTTGGTTGCCATCCTATAGCGAAGAAATGGGATGACGACCTTCCCGGATGGTGTATCAACAGAGTTGTTGTGAATATAATTTACGGAGCGGGCCACATGACGAGCGACCTCATTATCGGTATCCTACCCCTAGTAATGGTATGGAGGCTACAGTTCCGAACGACAAGGCAGAAGATTGGGCTCAGCCTCGTACTTAGCTGCGGTCTTGTGTGAGTGAATTATGATGCCCCTTATAAAATGTCGCTGATGGTTAGATAGTGCCTGGGCTGTGGCCTGTATCCGCTGGGCATTCTCGACATACGACTCGTTATCATATGACCGGCCCTGGTACGAATCCAACGTTTTCCATTGACCCCCCAATTTCACTTCCTGCTTCTCCAGTCTTATTGATATACCAGACCACAATACGCCTGATCACTGCTAACAGGTAGTATTATAGGTGGTCCGGTATCAGTTTCACCTTCTCCATTCTCGAGGTGAACACGGGTCTTATTTGCGCCTGTACAGCGACATTCGGTCCGTTATTCAACAGCTTCTCTTCACAACTTAGATCATGGTCCGATCGAGCGACAACGAATTTGCACAATAGCTCCCAAAAAGCAACGGCGAGCTGGCGTAGTTCTCGACACGACAGGGTCCAGTCTACTTGGAGGCACAACAGTCTCTCCGGCGACCTACCCCTGATGCCATCTATTGCCCATACAAAAGGCCACAGCAATAGCTTGGAGGATGGTTCATACCGCATGGAGCCCGTTGTCACTTCAAATACGATACCACCATCAAGTGCCAAGTCAGACGACGAATTTGCTCAGTTTGATCCCCAGGGGCTACAAGCGCTCGATGGGAAGATGGTGTAAAAGACCAAACATCACACACAGTATCACTTGACCACGACCATATTCAGCGACCTGGTCTTATGTTTTTTTTGAAATGGATTTCTCATGTAGGTTAATGTATGAGAACTCCTTAGACCGAGTAAAGGGGTTGGAAAGTTTCAACGACATAGCTCCTCATCGTGATCACTCCCCCTTCTCTCGAAACAGGGCTAGGGAGCTGCGACACCGTTCTGCGCTTCGCCTTAACGCTTCGATGCGGTGTGATATAGCCAAGTCGGGCCGGGCCGTCGTCGCCATTCATATGGCACACCGTCAATTATTTTTAGGCCACTCAATCGGAATGGTGCAGTGAGGACTAGGTTAGGGATGGGCTTGGAGGCGCTTATGGTAAGGAATCATATCGTCAATTCTATGGATGCCCCTTTGTGTTAGTGGGTTAGGGCGGTAAATTTGGATTTAAAAGATACTTTAGTTACACATAGTAAAATAGTAATGGATAATATTACGGTCAATACATATCCTCATGAGTTGAAGAAAGTTGTAATTGCTTATGTTGCAGAGTGAAATTTGCCATTTTAACGATTTGAATGGACGGTGCGGAACGGTGCGGAACGGTGCGTACGGAAACGAAAACGTGCTATATTAATAAAACGCCAACTTAAATAGTAATTAAGATCCCGTACAGAACGGTACATGTTACGGAACATGTACTGTGCATGCCAAGACTTTTCATCGTTAAGCTCTTTTCTCACAACTTATAATTTTCAGTTAACCCGAGCTCATTAACCTAACCACCACGATACACAACTGCTTAATTATAAGATTCTCACTTGTTTAAGAGGGTAATGCAACCTAAATAGTCCAAGGTGTTTAATAATTCACCAAAAATACGTATATTTTCCTATTCTATATGTTGCATCCAAGTCTTACTAACATCTCATAGCTCACTCCTGGATCGTAGCTTCAGGCTTATATGGATGAAGGGAAATAAGTATCCCGGTGGTGCATTTGCTGTTTGACTCTAGTATTCCGTACACTTTCAACTCTTCAACCAAAGTAGGGGGAAATATTAGGGAGACGTATCAGCCGGAGATATTGAAATGCGGCCACTGCTGCGACAAGTCGCCGCGGCGCCTTTCCGTTCTAAACCATGCCACGAGCTGTCAAGGACACAGGAACTCGATGTCCTACTACTACGGTCTAGCAATGCGCTCATCTTCCAACCCGCAATGCGGAGGCCGACCCAGCTATCGAGGATATGTAATGTCTGTCGCCAAATACGGCGGTACACCAGCAACACTACAACTACCACCAACCCACTAAAAGAGGAGGAGGCGAAGGAGAGAAAGGCGAAAACGTCAGATCCTCTACGCATCCTATTCTGCGGCTCCGATGAATTCAGCTGTGCCTCCCTCGAAACGCTGCATCAGGAGCATATACGCAACCCGGCGCTCATCCAGTCCATCGACGTCGTGGTCCGGCCGGGTAAGCGCACGGGGAGGAAAAACAAATTCATCCAGCATCGTAGGTTACCTACCATCTCTCTATTCTCATACCTATTTCAGTAGATACGGTCCAGCACAACAAGATCATACATATCAACTAAGACGTCTTTGATAGCACCGATTAGAGACCTAGCTACGAGGCTGGGCCTTCCGATCCACGAGAGGGATACTTTTACAGGATGGGATGTGAGTTTAGCATTCATTACCTACATATATACAAACACACCCACCTTCGTCCAATATTCTACATGCATGACATACCTACATCCCATACTTACACATCCCAGATGCCCTCTCACATCAACCTCATAATCGCCGTATCCTTCGGCCTCTTCGTGCCCCCGCGTCTCCTCGGCGCAGCCCAATACGGAGGCCTAAACATCCACCCCTCTCTCCTGCCCGACCTGCGCGGGCCCGCCCCCCTGCAACACGCCCTGCTCGCCGGCCGCACTCACACCGGCATCAGCCTGCAGACCCTCGACCATCAAGCCTTCGACCACGGCTTGATTCTTGCGCGCACGCCGCCCCTGCCGATCCCCCCTGGTGCTGACTACGCGAGCTTACTCGCTTACGCAACGCCCCTGGCCGCGCAGTTATTAGTGCAGGGGCTGAGGGAAGGGCTCCACGTCCCGCCGCTAGAGGAGGCGGCGGAACATAGCCATGGGCCGGAAGAGAGTGGGAGTCAGGATCGAGAGGTGGTGGAATCACGTGGGCACCCAGAAAATCTCCTCCACGCGCCTAAAATCACAAAACAAGACCGCCAGCTCCGAGTCAGCACTCTACCGCACTTATGGCGCCGGTACCGCGCGCTAGGCCCGCCGTGGTTCTGGGCGCGCGGTCGGCAGCGTATGCGGAAGCAGGGTGTGCGGAAGCGCGTTATTGTTGAGCGAGTTGCTGGCGAAGACGCTACGCTATCGGATGTAGCGCTTACTTTCACCCTTACTGCAGATGCGAGCTCCACGTCTGGTTTTAGTATAGATGAGAAGCAGAAGAAGACGCTGGTCCTTGATGCGGCTGCGTATGCTGCTGCAAGTGGAGTCGGGCCTAGTGTACCGCGGTTAGTAGCTTTTGAGCAGGACGATGCCGCTGGTGGCATTGACGGTGAAGGTATTAGTGAGGCGGAAAACAGTGCCGAGCAAACTCATCTCGTGCTGTGGTTTCCCGAGGGAGATAGCGAAGTGTGTTACTTAGGACCCTACCGCATCGAGATGGTAAACGTTGAGGGCGACAGGCCAAGGCCGCCGGCGCGGGCGCTGAAGAAATTCCTTGTCCCAGTGGAGTTACCTGAGATTGAATGACGGAAGACGAGTACGGGTTAGTAAGGAGGAGTGGTTGTGAGTAAGGAAAGCTTGTTGATAGTAGCGCTTGGGAACCTGTATAGTATCAAGCAAATCACATGGCAGAACGGGGAACAAATAAAATAGAGATTTATTAGTACACGACAAATAGTCTAGTTCCTTGTAGAACTAATGTCGACACATAGTAATACATTAGTGATAGGTTCTTTCCATCAAATCACCATCATGACAGTTGCGCCGCCCGCCGAATATTGTCCCGGTACATGAGGTAGCTAACACGGAAGGAGACGTACTCATGTCTCATAAACCCGCCAAAATCCTGTCCCGAGTTCTAGCCAGCTTTACAGCAAGATGGTTTTCATGAAATATCCTTCATAGTAGTTTTGTCATAGTCACACATGATAGTAGTAATTAGGAGGGATGGTTGTAGTAGTGGCCGGAGTCCCGATGGGATACTCCCCCACTTGTATATGGTCCGAGAAGCTTTTACTTTTGCTCGTCCGATGAGCTTCCCGCACTGGAAGAAGTCTCGGTCTTACTGAGGGCATTTTCGTCCTCAATCTCAGGCCCGTGAAGTCTTTCCTCGAAGACGGGTTCGGGTTCGTTGATCTCAAACTTAGTCTTGAAATCCCTGAGGTGGGTGGAAAAGCTACTGCTGTTGGAGCGACGACGAGCATTGACAAAGTTGAAATCTTCGTCGACGACTTCAGCACCTGCCGGGCCCCTGGAATTGTTTAGTTAGTATAGTTGCATCAGCAATTTGATATCATGCTGTCGATGGTAACAGCAATGATATATAGGAGGGATGGACTTACCAATTACCCTTGCCTCCGCCGTTCTTCTTGGTCTTCTTTGGGTCGACACCATCGAAGCCGTTCTTGGCGAAGAACTTGGGAACGTTGTCATGAGGGACAACAGTTCCCTCAGCAAGGCCAGCGTGGTCCTTGTCGTTGAACTTGTGAGATCGAGTCACTGCAACGATGACATAAGTTAGCAGATAGTTTATACAATATGAGAGATGCCCAACTGTCATTGTAGACAGGTTATGTGTCTTAGGTTTATTCCCTAAGAGACGTTGGTGTTGTTTGTCGTTCGACATACACCATAACAACTCATAGAAGGGCACGTCACAAGGATCATGCGGGGGTTGAAGAGAATAGAAGATATAAGCTGGATCAAACCTACTTTTGATGGAGAAGTTAAGAGGATTGTAAGAGAGACTCGGATGAGTTAACAAGCACAGATAGATGCTAATGAGCTCTGATATGGTGGTTCACAGAGGGAGAAGGGAGAAGGATCAGAGAGACAGACTTCGAGAGTAAGAAGAGAAGTAGTATCTAATAGAAGAAGAAAGTCTGAGGAGATGAGGAGAGAGAAGATCAAGTCAAGGTTGTCCGGTTTGAAGCCTAGCGGTAGTGGTACAGCTGGTGAAGATTGAAGAAGAGTGGATGGATTTGATCTAATGGTGGGGTGACTACGGTAGGTAATTAGTTCAAGGAGGAATTGGGTTGCATTAATATGTCCTTGGCCGAAGTGTTTATGTAGGTGTAGGTAGGTAGGATGTAGGATGTAAGTAGGAGGTAGGAGGTAGGAGGTAGAAGGTAGGATATATGTAGATATGTATGTATGTATATGTACTCAGTTGGAGAACATACCTAGGAGAGGTTCGATGATGATGGGCAGGGTCTTCCCTTTAAGACATCGGAGATCAATGAGGAGGACCCTCTCTTGAGTTCTCCGGTGTCCCCCTCATGTCCCCTCTCGTGCCCCCCCTCTGAATCGAGTCAGAATACATGCTCACATTGCTCACAGCCGTCGATATGTACTGTGAGGTGGATGAGGTGGAACGACCTTCATCCATTGCGAACCACTACCTCTACTACATAGGACTAGGGTGAGCTGATCTTTTTTGATGGGGCAATTGAGAGTCGACCAGTCGCGTGACCGATTGACGCAAGCTCTAATGTAGTTTTAAGGTGTTTTAGTGGATGGCGTGAGCGAATGATCCTATTGGACAATTCCCTCGCGGCCCTCGCCGTTGAAAGAACGGCAATCAAACCGTTTAAAAGAAGGTTCAAGAATCTTCTCCAAAAGGGGGTCTGCTGCCCATAGGTACCTACCTACCTAACATACACTACTGCCATATCAGTATGTACCATTACTTTAGGTACTTTCGACTGTTTCAATTACATAGCTCAGCGACCGGGAGCGATTACCGAATATCTTAGCGGGGTGAGGTACAAGGGGTATCCCTGACTTGCTTTAGAGGATTGTTGCGGCATACGATTAGTACCTAGTTACATAGATACCTCCCTAAGGTACCTAATGCACCTAAGGTATGCAAAATAGAGTTGAAACCCAAACAAGGACCAATGAGAACATAGTCGACAGCTAGAATTAGGTAAGTTAAAACATTAGTAGAGTACCTAGTTAATCTTCGCAATCTTTGCTAGTCTTTGCCAGTCTTGGATGCTTTGTCGATCTCGAAATCTCGAGAATTTACCCGCTCAATCCGGCCCCAAAAATTACGGGTGTCCAGCCCAACCAAGCTGCCAATTCCTTCAATGCAAAAAAACACAACCGGTTCAATTTGTGATTCCGATTACATCATAGGTACTATTACATCCCGTCTACATATGTATTTTGTTGGGAACCTTTACCGTTCCTTACGTCCTTCCAACTCTGGCAATTCAGCCTCAGGCACGCAGACATATATACCTATGTATGTAGGTATGTATGTACACAATAGCGAAGGAAGCAAGAGTCCAGCCCTGAGCGGAATGAGACACACGAAAAAGAACACATGCAGGTTTATGTCACACGCCCAGAAGACGGAATGCAAAGACCCACCTATACCCCAGGTATTTCCACAATACTATATTCCGTACCGGGTACCCTGCGTAACCTTCCCTACCTTTCTGTCCCAAGCGATGATGAGCGGCTGCGTTATAATGCGGGGAAATCCACATTTATTTCTTATTCGCAGCTCCCTTATCCGCCCCTTTGAACTGTTTGACTGTGCAGCTGCAGTCGTTTCTTTATGTACGTTTGTAGCATAGTGTACATAGGTAGGTACCTATGTAGGTAGTCATGTAGTCAGCAGTGACGCCTCAAGGACAAATAACGCATAGTTGTGGTATCTATCTTGCCTACCTCAAGACAATGATATTATTTGTCTACATGTATGTCTGCCAAGTTGATAAGGACTGGTGTATTACTATCATCATCTCTATTGATTTCTCCTTTGTCTCTTTTCTATACCCTTCATCGGCTAACAGAGCATATCTTCGATCGCCAATACATACCTAGCACAGGTACCTAAGGCATATTCCGTATAGATTAATCAATCATAGGGGAGAAAGGCGAGAGCAATCAAATTCAAGACCAAATTTTGTATTCATACCCAGCTATAACTCTATGACTACTATGTGAATATCAGCACCTATATAGTCTCGAGTAGTAAACATACTACTTATGTCTTTGCGGCTCCCCTAAAAGTTGAAGCTGGTAAAGCGACATCGAATGTACAATTTGGTTTTTTAGCTTAAGATGGCGAAGAATAGAAGCTGGAAAGCTTGTACCATCTACTGGCAATTCCATATCGCGGAATCCGACGTTGTGATAGCAGGTATTCTGGCGCACCGTCTCAGTCCAACACTGCATAACCCTTGGCTCTAAATCAAGTTCCCAAGTACCCCGCCACGTAATAGTGCTAGCACCTCCATCGTCATAATAACGAAAAAAGCAACCGTGGGTTGTTCTGAACCCATTCCAAATCTCCATCACCCGAAGAGCAGGCATATTTCTCGCGGCGATACCCGCGGCATAAAGTAAGTCGTTAACCTCTTTCGAAGATTGGCGGATCTAGATGTATCGATGTAAGAGCTATAGTTTTTAATTCATCCTAGCTCTAGTCTGTACAAACTGGGGTTGACGGCCAGAATGGTTGGAAGAGAAGTCCTTGGCATCCACTGAAAAAAAATAAGTGCTCCAGGTTTAGACTCTCTCTAAACAAGGTCATAGCGATCTCGGGATTATTCACAGTACCTAGTTGATTTAAAGCCATAAGGGATTACGGTGAAAAGGGTCTTCGAAAATGGTCAGTTGCTTAAGTGTTTGCGGGAGGTTATAATTAGAAAGAAGCCAATGACCTACACGACTAAAATTAGAGACTTGTGAGTTTATAACGGAGTAAATTCCTTTAAAAGGAGTAATATCAACTTACGTTTCTCCTGCCAAGTTTCAAAGATGTGGCCTGCTCTTTCTGGTGGTTCGTAAACAATTCGTTCCAACCCAACCAAGCTTCCGAGAATTTGCGCGATACGGTAGCATATTGTGAGTTCGTCGAGGGATAAACAAGACATTCTTAAAGAATTCCAAGTATGGATCATGCACAAATTCTAGGTTAAATCTGCCATCGCACAGAGACCACGTGGACAGCTCAAGTGTCAACCCTTCCTCATTCAAATCGTCGGGCCTTTTCCAGATGCTGAGTATTCGGAGGAGCCCCTCGATTGTATTAACAAATTCGGGTTCATCTATAAGACTTATACGGTGTCGAAATCCGGGATTGCCATCTTCAACTTCCGCCCTTAACCAGATATGCTTCACTAGCTTTCTCCTCGATCCTTGTACAATCTGAGCGAAACTCTTCAAACGCCGGGACGACAAGAAAATCCACTCGAAATGCTTTTTCTCGAAGACCGACTACCACTCTGTAGAGACGGTAGCGTATTCGACTGTCCTCTCCGTCGAGAAATCAGGTACCATTTCCAGTATTGATAGCCGAAGTTCGGCTGGGAGTTTTATGAAGTCCATTTTTATCTTGCTTGAAGTTATCCCACCTGGATTCAATGTTGTATTTGACCACAGCCGGTATTGTAAAAGAGTGGCCGAGGAAGCAGTTTATAGGTTGAATCAAAACGGCCGTGCGTAACGCGCAAAAGATCGTGTGTAGGTTAGGTGGATGAATGAAACAAAAGAAACGCTTCACTGCTTATTGTTTAGATAGTTATCCTTTTGCATAACGGGAGTTTCACATATGCTTCCTCTTAAAACCACCATCATATCATAGCTTCTGCTTATAAGGTAGAATTGACCAAACGCGGCAATTTTTACTATGTAAAACACTGATGTTAAAAGGAGACGTCAAAGGCATTAAAGTTCAGTTCGGCGCCAATCAGCATGCCGTAATCAATCCCTTGCCAATCAGCTCTTAGAAATTACTACCAAATGCTATCATTGAAATGGGGTAAGGTTGCAGTACAAAATACTTAGTGCCGCAATCGGATCTGATAACAGTTTGCGCGGAGAAACATTTCGTCACTGTCGATTATTTTCTCTTAATCACGTAGCTTAGCAAAGACGCTCTTCCCCTAGTTTGTATTACCATACCTGACTCAACCTGTGAAAGCCTTCGATTTAGGGGACTTAGGTAATCCATTAAAAAGAACTTCTCAAAATCAATTTGTAATCCGAACACTAATTCACCTTACCGCCAAATAAATAGCAGCAAATCCGATAACTTGAGGAATTTCTACCACAAAGAACCTCGAAAACCTAGACTGTCTAGTTGCCCCTCGCCCTTACCCATGCCAGTTTTGCCCCGCGAATAAGATCAGGTCTTTAACATTTTTACCTTTTGAGTTCACTGAATTCGCCAACACAACAATTCTTCTACAACAATTCTCGACTAGGAGGCGCAACGGGCGCATAGAACCTCCATCATGTCTCCCTCAATCATCACCATCGATAACACATCAGACTTCGATGTATTCGGCTCAACCCCGACCCAAAATGGCTCCTCAGGCCCCCGAACCCTACTCCTTGCCCCTCCGTCTCTTGCAAGTCATGAGGAGAAGTTACGAACCGTCTTAGCCGCGCACGACCGGTCCGTTACCGACTTGCAGATGCTTGACCGTCTTTCTGCCGGTCTTGTTAACCTTCCCGACGCAACCTATGACCTAATCTTGGTCCTCACAGACGCCGATGGCACGCGTGCTGAATCAACACTCCTTCTCAATCGCGATGTTTTCGCCAAGATCGTACCAACTCTCAAAATTGGAGGAAAGATCCAAGCGCAAGACGGCTCCCTAGCACAGAATAATCAGGGACCTGATGCGCGAGAGGCCCTCCTATCCGGCTTGTTGCCTGGTGACGACGGATTCTCAAAGCCGGATGATGGCGCTGCTGATGCAGTTCCTCTTAAACTGGGACTAGGCAAGAACAAGAAGAGAAGTGCCGCCGGGCCTGCAGTAAAGAATGTTACTGTTCACCAAGCCAACGGAAAGGATGCAAAGCTCAACATGGTGCCTCCCGCTGTGAAGTCAACCCCTGCAGGTGTTGGTTTTGTGGACCTTAGCTATGACTTTGACGCTCCTGAGGACGACGACGAGCTAATCGATGAGGATACCTTGTTGACAGAGGAAGACTTGAATAAGCCCTTAGCTATTCGTAAGTAGTATATCCCCATAAGGTTCATTCAGCACTAAGTCCTAACCTGTATCGCAGCTGCGGAATGTGTACCGAAGGTCGGCAAGCGAAGACGTGCTTGCAAGGATTGCACATGTGGTCTGGCTCAGAAGCTCGAGGCCGAGGATGCAGCAAACAGGAAGCAAGCCGACGAAAAGCTTCAGGCTCTGAAGCTTGACTCCAACGACCTAACTGAAGTGGACTTCACCGTAAAGGGCAAGGTTGGATCCTGCGGAAACTGCTCACTGGGCGATGCTTTCCGATGTGATGGATGCCCTTATATAGGATTGCCCGCATTCAAGCCAGGAGAGGAAGTCCGAATCCTTAACAACGTTGTTCAACTATGATAATAATCGTGAGCACTACAGCCATTTCCGGCTCCATCATTTGGTTCATAAGACATGCCGTCAAGCTATATCACGATATGGACTTGATGAAGCATACTGCCTTAAGCATTGCAGGCCGCATGAATCTTGGTTGCGTTAAATCCGAGGAAAACGGTGTTTGGGGGGGCTAAAAAGCACGGTTTTATACAAGGCATGATCAATATCATGGCAAAGCATAATACATCCACAAGGATGATGATACATGGATTTATAGATGAATTCAGCAGCTCGTTTGCGTTTTAGCCTCAACCCTCCGAGCAGCTTAGGTAGCTATGATTTCTCGGAGATCCTCTACCTTATGCGACTATTAGAGATTCCTTCGAATCCAAATATACGATGGTTCCTAAAGCATCTCAGTGAATTATTAATTGTAGTAGCATGATTCAATAGAAAATGCCTAGTCAACCTAATGCCTGCCTCAACTACACACCTAGGTTAGTCCTTTGTCTTGGCATACTAGACTTAAACACATCTATGGAATCTATAAGGTATAATATGTAATCCATAAGAGGTAGTTTCCTCAGCTTAATTGTCCAACTTCCGTACTAAATCCCCCCTTTAAGTTCCTCCTAAGTATTATATGTAAGCTAAGCTTAAAGACTATGTTGACTGTGAATAGCTATGCCATATTATGTATCTAGCTCTGTAAATAATTACCGACAATATGCCCTTCCCATCTTTAGCCATTAGAATGCTGACTATGATCTAATGGTTGCCTTCAAGTACAAGAGTGAGGGATGAGTGAAAAATCATGGGTACAACAATCTATTTCATAGTATTCTTAGCAAATAGGCAGTAAAGGAGAAACAAATCATAAACTGAAAGGAAGTTGGGTGATGCAATGACAAGTGATATCTCTAACTGTTCACACTTGCTGTGATTTATGTACTTTCTTGGACATATCAGGTTTTATAATATTTTATAATAGACTTTAATTAAGTGGAACAACAGAGACTTTAGATTAGATCCAAGCCCATTGGTACGGCGTAATCAAAAGCTACTGTAGTAATGTTTTCCATGGAAGATAGTGTGAAATCTCTTGACGAAATGTTAAACCATATATTTCCTTTTCTCATTGATCTCACCTAAAAGCTATGGGGGATGCCAAAATTGTGGGATTAGTTCTAATTGCAACTCTGACTTTTCTGTATAGTTATATGCATGAATGATCTACTTAAGTGAATCTTACTTGATGCGATCTGTAACTCAAATATCTGATCAGGCCCAAGGCATACCGCTGGCTTATTTTTGAGGTCTGAGTGCATTCCTTGGCCATCTCGAGCGTTGTTGTTGCTGGGCAACGCAGCACCTTCTGTTGGCCTAAAGTACCTAACCTAATCTACCAGCAACTGTTTTACCATTCCTAAGCTTCACATGTTGAGACAACCGTAGCCCAACTGCTATAGCTAAGGGTTCGACAAGCACTCTTAATAGTATAAGGCAGGATATAAAACACTACCTATTCTAAATACTAAATGATTGTATATGGTGGGTGCCGATCTTTGGCGTTGAGGTTTTTTTTTTGTCTCCCAGTAACTTTTCTCTGGCTCTTATTTTGGAACTATAAATAAATTGACTTAGACACAAACAAGGGTAAACTAGCACATCCCTAGTTACATGTCTTGTATGCAGTGCTTGTTTTACAGGCCCGCTCTAAGACACAAAGACAACATCTATTGTCTTTCCTTCTTACAGTGGGATGCAACCTCTGGCGACTCAGTTGAAACGTAGGGAGTGCCGGCATTGAACGCAACTTTATCCGCATACCTTTATCTGCATACTCTTTTTTATCATTGAGTAGGAATAGGCTAGATATAATCAAATAGGATGAAGTCAAAACAAGAAATCGGGACCAGGCATATCTCAACGGCTCAGGACTTGCGCCACTCAGCTCTGATCCCGACAGGGAACATGTTGGTGGCTGAGTGTGAAATCCTTGCATACAGGTTTTATGTTTGCTCCGATTTCAGCTCTGCTTCGCCCGGAAAAACTCGGCACCAATGGTAAGGCTGTTTTCAGCTATGGGGTCGACAAGCTTGGCAAAGTATTGGGTAGGATTCGACGTGTCTCTGACCTGCGCAGCAAACTGTTTCTGTGTTGCTTCTGAGTTGCCAGGGCAGATCGACCTGCTATGGCGGCTCTGGTGTAAATATACACGTGTACATGTAATAGGTATGCTTACTACATAGGAAATAGGAAATTGGCTCATGTAAGACGACAATGTTGATGTATGCAAGTTTTTTCTCATTGGAGCTTTTCGCATTATCTGATGGCAATAACAGTTCGGGTATCCTCGTCTTAATATCTTGATTACCTATTGAATAAGCGGCCGCCCACGATTTATGAGTGGGCGTATGCCAATTTGGAGAGCCTCAATATCACGAACTTGGAATGAATATCCACTATGTTAAGTAGTTTATGACGCTGTGTCCGGGGCGAAGAATGTAGTTGTTGAATTGTTCAGCTAGCTATCTCGCTTAGGAAGCTTGTAATTAGAGCTCGGATGTAAATTGGAGATAAATGCAAGCGGATCGATCGGATTTGAAATCTAGTATGCATTTAGATCGACGATATTAGCCGCCTTACCAGCTGAATAGGCGTTGTCTCCGAAAAGAGTATATACACATAAGTAAGTCATAGATATTCTAGTTAGTAGTTAGTTATGTTCAAGATAACTACCTACTCATAATGCATCGTGAACTGGTGATAAAAGAAACACAAAACTGGCTGGAGTCTCAAGGGTCGGCAGGTATTTCAAAACAAGAATAATTGGTGGAATATAACTCTTGGCTTTGATGGAGATCTAACCAACTGGGGCATTCAATTCTCTAATAGCCAATGAACTCTACATATCAGGTACAGAGCCTTGATTTGGGGGTTTTCTTCGCAAGCCTGGCGAAAGACAATTGATAGTAGAATTGGCCTTTTATGATATTGTTAAGCTCCTAACCTACATATTATAGTATTGGCGGTTTGAGAATTAAATGCATAATATATGATATGTAGCATATCTACGGAAACCTAATGCACCTTTGTCAGGTCTGGCCCGGATCACCCCAATCTCACGCCCCCCTTCATACATTTGTACTGCAAAGTTGTTGGTCCGTGATGGTTGATCGTCAATGCGATGCTTTGTGACCGTTTTAACCTTTTGGAAGCCCTGCAAATTTATTTGCTTTGCGATAATCTAACCTAACCCTATCCCATAAGAAGATTGAAGATTTAAATGATGCAAATGCGATTTTGAAGATCGGTTTAGCTGTTTAAAATTCCGGACAAAAATGCATCTTTTGTGATTTACAGCCAGGGGCATCAATAATTTTGCCGAACAACGAGCATAGCTGCATGGGAGGTACCAAGGTTGGGATAGCTCCTAAACTAATAACAACTTCAAGGGTCCAGGCCATGTAACGGACAGACCGATATTTTGTATGTATGTCTTTCTCCCCTTTACACATACAATGGATATTTTGGACTCTTTTCTCCTTTGTAAATATGCTTTATAGGAAATATTTTCTTAACAAAGATGGTCACTGTAACCAACTGTGCATTTATTTACTAAAGGACGTTTACTTGTAATTCGTCCATTATTATTATTCACTACAGCAACTGATAACCGCATTGTTGCGCCGGACTTGTCTTGATTGGAATTTAAAGACCCTGGCCAGGTGAGTTGGAGCCTTGGCCTCTATGGCCCCAATGCCCAGCTTTTTACTGCCTGCTTTCAGTAAAGCTTCTGTTCCGGTGGTGATTCAGGTGGCTCCCCCCACCCCCTCCCCCCCAGCACTACCTAAAATTACCTAGGCCCCGCCTAAAATACGCTGCAATTTGGCTAGTACGAAGTACCTAATTGACCCAATTGTATTTCATGTACCTAGGTACACTCTGGATCAGGGCTAAAGGGGGTCGCGGCGCAGTTGGGCCACCTGCAACTTGCACTTCCTTAGCCACTCTGCTGCCACTCTAGCCACTGCCGTTCCCCGACCGCTTCTCCCCAAATTCCTCCCTTCCTGATCTTCACTTTCTCAAGTCACTTTTCAATCCATCCCGATCTATCAATTCACCCAACAACCACCTACCAGGATTGACTAATCCCGTCAGTTCAGCTGCTCGAGTCATAATTAATTTAAACACAACTCGAGGGGATGAGCTTTCGGGTTTTCTGAGTCGTTTCGAGTATCTAGGATACTCGTGTCGGACCAGGCGACACTCGCTCTCCTGTAGCCCCCTTCCGACCGTGTTGCTCCCGTCTCCTGCTGGTCCCCGACTCCCAATCGACAACGGCTTCATACATCCACAATGGCCTCCTCGTCGTCAAACGTCGTGGGCGTCCACTATAGGGTGGGAAAGAAGATTGGTGAAGGATCATTCGGTGTCATTTTCGAAGGCACCAATTTACTAAACAACCAGCAAGTCGCCATCAAGTTTGTAAGTAAATGAGACTCTATTTTCATTTGCCGCCAGCAAGGCTCCTATGCCCCTTGGTCAACACTCAATACTCAACACTCAATCACCGCACCATACAAGGCGTCTAGTTCTAACCACATACGCTTGATAGGAACCGCGGAAGAGCGATGCGCCGCAATTACGAGATGAATATCGTACATACAAGATTCTTGTCGGATGCCGTAAGTCAACTAATGTGTTTCATCAGTATGCTTTTTGTAACTGACAAGCTTCGTTTCCTAGCTGGTATCCCTAATGTCTATTATTTTGGACAGGAAGGCCTGCATAATATTCTTGTCATAGATTTGCTTGGACCGTCATTGGAAGACCTGTTCGACCACTGCAACCGAAGATTCACCATCAAGACCGTCGTAATGGTAGCGAAGCAAATGGTAATTCGTCCCTGGAGTTTTATGAGTCAATTACGTGCAGGAACTAAATTGGATTCTAGCTCTCCCGAGTGCAAACCATTCACGAGAAGAATCTCATTTACAGAGATATCAAGCCCGACAACTTTCTCATCGGTCGTCCTGGGACCAAAGCCGCGAATGTTATTCACGTCGTCGACTTTGGCATGGCTAAACAGTACCGAGACCCGAAGACAAAACAGCATATTCCGTATCGAGAGCGAAAGTCCTTGTCCGGAACCGCCCGATACATGAGTATTAATACTCATCTTGGACGCGAACAGTCACGGCGAGACGATCTAGAAGCTCTCGGCCATGTGTTTATGTACTTCCTTCGAGGCGGTCTTCCGTGGCAGGGCCTGAAGGCTGCGACGAATAAGCAGAAATACGAGAAGATTGGTGAAAAGAAACAAACCACACCCATAAAGGATCTATGTGAAGGCTTCCCTGAGGAGTTTAACAAGTACCTTACTTACGTAAGAAACCTTGGTTTCGAAGATACTCCCGACTACGATTACCTGCGTGAACTATTCACCCAGGCTCTGAAGAACACCGGTGAGGTAGAGGATGGCGAGTACGATTGGATGAAGATTAGCAAGGAGTCGTCCAAGGGCTGGGATGCTATGCACAAGCCTGGACCTTACCACAACCCGAATAAGCAGCCGGGCGTCTCTGCCAGAGAGATGCACAATCAATCTCGTATCAACGTCCCTGGCGGCCTTACTCACGAGCGTTTAAACGCCGCGCAGCCCCCACCTCCGTCTCCAGCCAGACCGACGGACAAGCGCCGGCAAAACGCCCTCGGCGCCACGGCAGCGCAGCGAGGTAGCGCGGTGGGGGGCCTTCGGGACATGGCTACACCAACTCCTTCAACCCAAGCCCAATTCCAGAACAGCAACCAAAATTTACCAGCGAGGATGGCACCCCAGACGAATATGGGGTCACCGGCTGCGGGCAATGGAGTGGCATCAGAGGCGCAACCGACAGGATTCCAGAAATTCATGAAGGTCCTTTGCTGCGGTTAGTTTGAACGTGGCCTATATTAGCAACGAGCATAAAGCTGATAAAATGATAGGCTAAACCTGATCTAACGTGGCATACTGGCGATCTTATAGACTAGAATTGATCCTGGATGGAGTTCCTGCGCCGATTTTTATTACTACTAATGCATCCTGGTCTAAGGTGTTCATCCTACTAAGTCTTGGTCGTTGTGTGTCATTCCATAGTTATCTTCTCGATGGATTTTGCTTGCGTGGGCTAAGAGCCTCGATAGTGCTGCCACATTCGATGTGTGTGTTTGAATCAACAGACTTACCAACACGTTGAATCGCAGCCTGGATCACCCTACGCAAATTTGCGGAATAATACCCCTACAGAGCCCCGGGAAGACGGCCAATCGAATACATGATTTCCTATTAGGATCAAGGCTTGGCGTTATCCGAGACACGAATGAATATCTTTTCCTTTCACGACTCTCGTTTTCATGAAATAGACACAGGCCGTTTAATTAGTAGCGCGCAGCACGGCGCTGGTGGGATTTGCACTGTTGGCGAGCATTGGGATCGGGTTTCGTTTTTTTTGTTATCCCATCCCTTTATACACCGTTCATAATTAAGAAGCAGGGGGGAGGGCCCGAGGGTTGAGACGGGTTTTGTATTAAGCAGAAGCAGTATATGGGGGAGGGGGAGCGCAGAGTGACTATAGTAGGAGAGGATCTCGCAGTCGGTGCCTGAGAAGCATGGAGGTGTTGAGTCGGTAGATGGGAGGTATAAGGCAGAAAAGAAGAGATTCATAATGATTTCGGTGTTGAGCGTTGCACCGTAAGTTGATTCAAAAAGACATATATTGGGACTTATGTTGCATTCGGTCGATACGTGATACTGAACCGTGCTGGCCTTAGCACTCCCGTAATTTATTAATATGAGCTCGTCACTACCGATAGCATCCTCTGAAAATAGACATATTCTGATGCTAATCTGTCTCTAAATTCACAACAGTTTGACTGTAAGATTCTTTCAATAGGACAAGTGAGTCCATCTAGTAGTAGACGGTTTCCGTTCCAACGTGGCAATGTAATCAATACATAACGACCGGCCATAGTTATAACACCCAAAGCATCATCGCCTTCGTAATCCTGCTCCCGTTTACCGTAAGCTGCGTTAACCGTGACAGCTTTCGTACAAACCAAAACTCCCCTTGCCTACTGATAACAACACGATGGTCGCGGACTTAAGTAAGCTTCTGCTTGATGAAGAAAGACCGGAGATGAGACAGCTGCCAGGCGCATGTGATACCGAGAACGACAAGCTGGATGGTCATCCAGCGCACAACACGTGAGTTGGTAGACTCGGATTGATCTCGGAACTCGGCTTCTCGTTCCTGTGGGTTTGAGAATCGGGTTAGTATTTTGTTGCTGGATTCTTGGTTTATATTTAAACCGAATCTGTCACGATCTATGGACAGTAACCCCCCCTCCCTTTTCTACCACCCTTCTTCTCCCCTCTGCTGAAGATAAAAATGACCTAAATGGGAAGAGAGAGAATAACAAACTTACGCGCTGGAAGATTTGCTCGCGGCGGATATCCTGGAGGCGGGCGTTGAGGTCGCGGATGCGCTGGGAGATGTCCATGAGCTTGGTCTTGTCGGTGGACTCGATCTCGGAGGAGCCAATGGCGAGGTCGAGGGTCAGCTTGATGCCGCCGTTGGGCTGCGCGGCCGAAAGCCAGCCCGGGCGCCCGCTGCTGCTGCTCGGCGTGAAGCAGATCTTGTGCTCGCCCGACTCGGCCGCCGTGAAGGTGAATTTGCCCGACGAGGATCCCCGCTGGGAGACCACCTGGTGGTCGTTGTCGAAGATTTCCTGGAGGGGAGGTTAGTGGGATCGCTATGATTGGGTTGTTTTGCGCGCATCTGTTCTTGGCTGGAGGAGGAACTGATGTTAAGGCGGAAGGGTGGGAGTGGAAGGGGGACTAACGATAACGGAGATGTAGATGCTGATGCCGTCGTGCTTGGCCCAGGCGTGTGTGTTGTCATCCCACTCCTCGGCCTGGTAATGCCCGAGGACTAGTGTGTCCTTGGGCAGCTCCTCGAAGAAGCATTTCGCGTTCGTGCCGTCGAGGAAGAAGTAGAGCGCATGGGCGACGGAGCCCAGCATCAGGAGGGGGAGAAGCACCCTCATCGTTAGTTGTTCGGTAGCGTACTTGTTGAATTGACTATGTTATTGTCAATTGATCGTATCGGGGCTTATTTAGGGTTGGGTTGGGCCGAATGGTTGGCGACGGGCGTTGGCAAATAGGGTGTTGTTTGGATTATATTGTCAAGCCAGCCGTGTGAAGCTCTCGCCGACTCTAATAAATTCCAAGGTGCCACGTTCGAGAAAATGGCCTGTACGGATTACAGGGGTTAGACAGTGCTGCCAGTGGCCTGAGTGCAACTGGACTGCTATGTACATAGAAAGAAGCCCCCTGGTGTTGGCACTAGCACTAAACTTACATGGGTATATCGATAAGTTGATATACCAGTCACGTGCTGGCATAAGCTAGGTAAGAAACCATTAACTAAGGAAAGTCCAAAGCAGCCGAGTTATGATGTGCCCCTGTTTTTCAATACTCCTCTTTGACGCATAAGGTTCAAATAATTTTTGCAGTCTCAATCAATCGTTGCACCACCAAAAATCAATGCGCGATCCTCTATTTCCACGGTAAAATAGCGTCATCCACTCCAACAAACGAAACATCAAATAAACGCGCCGAGAAGTCTACACTATCTCCAAGAACCTCTCTTTATTCTTCTTCTGCCATGTGTTATTACGCGTACATAGTTTAATACTTCCATTTTCGGCCATTAACCCGCCCTTCCCATCTCGTACTCCCGCCGCTTCCTCCAGTAGTCATCCCTACCCTTCAATAACCCAAGTAAGGCCAAAATTACCGAAACTTCAGTAATAGCCTCATAAAATGGCTTCCCACGACGTCCGCGATGTCCTCAACCTGCCGCTTGATGCTGGTTCGCGACCAGCCAAAAAACAGAAGACGAATGTCCCTCGACCGAGCTTGAAGGGTTTAGCAAGGGAGGTACAAAACTTAGGAGGCGATAATCCTATCGCAATTGTCCCGGAGTTATCTTCGTTCAAAAAGCGGCGATTTGGAAGCAGGAAGCCGGCGGCGCGATGGGAATTACGTCCTTTCCGCAACTCAGCGCGAAACGATCAGTCACTACGTCTACGGCATTGGAGGAAGCAGACGGAAGATCAGACAAGACTGCGGGATGAGCAAGACGGAGAGAATGGGACTAACGTGGAAGATAAATCGGTGGAACTTGAAGACTCGGGGTTTTCTAAGTTTAACGTACAAGTGGACATTCCTCAATACAGCGACGACCAATACAAGTCCAACTTAGAGAGCGATGAATGGACGAAGGATGAAACAGATTACCTATTCGATCTTGCTAGAGACTTCGACCTTAGGTGGCCTCTAATATGGGATAGATATGATTATCAACCGAAGCTAGACGATAATATAACAAATGGCGAGGGGGCAGACACTACCGACCCTAAGACTGCTGTAGTCCCGGCACCTAAGGGGCGGACTTTGGAGGATTTAAAGGCTCGATATTACGAAGTTGCGGCAAAGATGATGGCTGTCCAAAAGCCTGTTCAATATATGACCCAAGCTGAATTTGCGCTTCATGAGGTCATGGCTAATTTTAACCCCGTCTCGGAGACAAAACGAAAGATGTTCGCAGCAGAAGCCTTGTCTAGATCTAGGGACGAAGCTCAGGAAGAAGAATTGCTGCTTGTTGAAGTACGCCGAATACTTGCCCGCCAGGAGAAGCTCAACCAAGAACGTCGTGAGCTTTACAACCGCCTTGACTATCCACACACGGAGCAAGATATCAATGCGTTCAAGTCCAGTGCTGGATTGCAGACACTTCTTCAGAATCTCATGAATGTAGACAAGACTAAAAAACGAAAGTCACTTATGGAAGCTAACGGCGCGAACACGCCCGCATCAGCTCACCCCTCAGCACACCCCTCTAATCACCCCAACTCTACTCCGATATCAGAAACCCGCCGAGAGAGCATCGCAGCTTCATCAGCGGGTCATCGTGATTCTATCGGAGGCGGCGAGCGTCCCGAACGTCCTGCCAAGAAGGGTGCCCAACCCGAGAGAAAGAAGCTCACCGAACAGGAAGAGCAAATCTACGGCGTATCACACCATGATCGTTTGCCCTCAGGGCCAACGTTCCGTTATGAACGAATAAATAAGATCCTCACAACAAAGAGTAACGCTCAACACCAGCGTATTACCAATACCCTAGCCGAGCTAGATATCCCGAGCAGACTCAACATGCCTACGAGGGCAGTAGTAGAGGAAATGGAGAAGTTGCTCAATTCCATCGGCGTGCTCCTAGACATGCGAAAGATGAACGACAAGATTGACGCCGAGATTAAGCTCGAGAAAGCTAAGAAGGCTGAGCGCGAGAAAGCACTGGCCCCTTCACAGCCAGAGAGTGAAGGTAAATCTAAGCAGTCGGTAGGTGCTGCTACGATAAATGGCGAGGATAAGAAAGAAGGTATCGTGGCCGACGAAGATGCTGCTGGGACGACTAATGGCGAGGCATCTGCGACTAATGGCGCAACGAACGGAGACGTTAACGACGAGAGTGGTGGAACTGCAAATGCAGATGATACGGAGAGCATGGCTGCGGATAAGGGGCTGCGACCGGAAAGCAGCAATGGGCATAAGAGAAGTGCCAGCGTTCTGAGCGCCAGCAGTGATAAGAGCGCTAAGAGACAGAAGAAGTAGGGGCCGTATGAAGTGTGAAGGCGGGCTGAGACGAGGTACGAGGAAGAGAATACCTAGTGATACGGCTGAATACGATTACCTACGACTGGGTAGGCCGACACGATGAATTGGCATCAGGGGGCAAGCCGGATGAGGTTACGATAGTAAGATAAGTTAACTAACATTAACATAAACATACGCATAGGGCTGAGAACGCCGTATGCTTTTTATCACCCATATCTTTACGGCTTGACGACGAGATGAGATGAAGTGATTAGTGCCGATTAACTACCTATAAGCTGTGTGCTTATAACTTCCTTGTTAACCCTGCTGATGCTGTAGTCTACTAGCTAGGAGCTAGTACTACGGTTGGCTTACGAAGTTGATAATGAACAGTGATGTTGAAGATTTGAGTATAAATCTTCTATTGACGCCATGGAAATACACAGGTTAGTCTGGGTGTAGGTCTTGACATAACATTAAAAGCGTACCTAATACATTGTTGTATTAATTAAGGAATTGCTTGCTTGCTTGCTTGCTTGCTTTGCTATATAATTAATACCTGAGTACCAAGCTAGGTTTTACTCAAAAATATACTCGACCCAATACAATACTAAGGACACCGTTCCCGTAAAAACAGAATAGCCTATGCTCGCGCATTTATAGATCATTCGTTAGGGGCAAGTAGAATAACTCGTCTTTGGTTCGGATCGTATCGTACCTCCTAGAATATTATCTTTGATCCTGCATATACATTTACGCATCACATCTATAACTACTTGTCCTATTCTCCACCCCTGACCCAGTATAACTATCTCATTAACAAACTACCACTTCAAGAAACCAAGTATCACATGTTTAAACAGTATGTATCAATTCCCCTAACAAGATAATTTACAAGTACAGTAGCTGCATCCTTCGCGCACAGTCCTAAGCAAAACACTGCGACTGACAAACCATAAACCGGGTATCTTTAACACAGATCTCTCTATAGTGCCGTGTCTCTCTCTTTTCGTCGAAATCATCGTCTTCGCGTAAGGGCGCAACTTCGGCCTGCCTTCGTAAAACACCATGCGTGTATGACGGCCGTGATCTCGTTAGTGAAGCTGGTTCCTGTCCCCCCTAAAACAGACCAAGATATATGACGATAGGGGATTCGTGAAATCCGTATATATGCACCCCTGGAAACGAAGAAAAAAAGGAATCGGCTTGCTTCCAACACCTAAATCTGCCATATAGCTGCCAGAGCTACTTGATATCCTTCTATTAGATGTACCCCAATCCATCGTATATATAACAAATACGTCGTCGTCCCCCTAAATTGCTACCGACATCTCATCTGTTCCTGCGGAGGGAAGCTATAGCTGAGTTTTTTAGGTCCTGCCACTGCAGAACCACCCATCATATGCTGTGCGGAAATCACCGTGTCTATCTACGTGTGAAGATGGTGCGAGTGGCGGAAACGACGAGAAGCGCTTGTATAAACAGCAAGCGATAAGTTCAGATATTGAGGCCAATATCAAGAAACTATAAGTGATGAGCATATATATGATCCATCATGCGCTGTCAGCTAATAGCACCGCGCGTTACCCGAGCAGGATTGCCTGCAACGACCGTAAACGGAGGCACATCCTAAACTTTCATTAGTACCGTGTCTATAGTATAATAGGGTTGCCAAACGAAAACTCACCTTGGTGACCACTGCGCCGGCAGCGATCGTTGCTCCCTTCCCAATCCTAAGACCGAGAAGGATTATAGCGCCGCCTCCGACCCACACGTCCTCCTCAATGTAAATAGGCGAACCGATGTGGGGGCTTTTACTGCCTTTGCGTTTCTTGGGGTCCGTATGCAGGGTGCCGCCGAAGAGGCTGACGTTCGGTCCGATGTAACAGTTGTTGCCAATAATGATCTCCATAGGGTCGATAATGGTGCAATTCCGGCCAATAAAGACATTATTTCCGATAGCAATGTTGTAACCATAATCACAGGTAAACGGCGCCTCGACAACCACCTCTTGCCCAACGCTACCAATATTTGTAATAGACGACTGTAACTGCGGGTTCATGAAGATAGGCTCCGTCGGGTGTAGAATTTCTTGGAAAAGCCGAGAACGCTCGGATGCTGAGACTCCAACACTCGGGTTAGTGGAATTGTTAAACCTAAAACATGCGGCGCTACATCTTTGCCTCTCTAGGACCAATTCTTCGTCAAACGGATAGTATTGATTCCCTGTAAGCATCTCTTCCTTCTGCGTTCTCTCCCGGCCAGGGGGCAGGTGTTGCGACAAGGCAAGACGTGCTGCTTCTTGAGGGTCAGTTGCGGTTGCAGATGGAGGTGGAGGAGGAGGTAGCGGTGGCGCGGGTTGGCTTTGATGACCTTGAGTTGGTGGGCTGCTACTTCGTGTTGGCGGAAGAATATTAATCTGCGGGAGCGAGCCCGAATGCGAAGTGTCGTGCTCTGTACGGGTAAGGTCGTGTAATGGTGGTACCCTCTGGTAGTCTTTGTGCCGGTCAACACTGCTTAAAGGCGTTGGCAACTGCATAGTACTGCTTGTAGCGCTTATCGGGGTAGGAAACATGGTTCCTGGGTTGGTATATGATATCGAAGATAGTTTGTTGTTTTCCGGGCTTGTAGCAGATGGGGTCGGTGTAGGAAGGGTAGCAGAAACAATTTGCCGGTTATCGTCCGCAAGAATCGGCCGGCCCTGAACCGGTTCTATCCGGAGCGGTTGACCGCGGTAGGCCTGAGCTGGTTGATCACGCTTTGGAGGCGGTGGGGGTGCAATCGGGTAACTACTCTGCTGAGGCATTCCGTAGGCACCTGGAGGCACATAGCTAGGATCCTTGGATTCGAGCGGAACAGCTGCGGGCTTGCTCTCCATTTTCGGGTAACCTCGCTGGTTGGGATATCCGTGGCATACAAAACCGCCCCGAACGCAGTTGGTACCTGCTCAACCCATAAGTAAATGAGGACTTGGTTTCATCTAGGGGAAGGCTCACATTGCGGTTTTGTTTCATCGCACTTCTTCTTTCTCTTCCGACAAGTTAGGCAGCTATAAATTCTGGTACGGAGAGCCGATACCTCGTCCTTAAGTGCCGAGATGCCTAGGCACCTACAACACGTAAGAGGACGCGGGGCCGGCCGCCATACCTAAAAGTCAGCAACGGGGTCCTGGATGCAATGCGTAAGACGGGCGGAATGATGGGGTCCTAGTTACCCAGTCTTGGTCCGGTTACTGAAATTGCGCTTCCTCTTTTTGGGGTCAGACTGAATCACAGCATCTCCTTTTCTCTGTTCCTGACTATAAGAGCTACTGCCATAGAGTACAGAACTGTCGTCACCGTCGGGGCTCGTCGCCGCGTAATCATGCTGGGATTCCATATGGGATGTTCCTCTTCGAAGTGTCTCGCCGAGCTGCTCATCGGTTGGTGAGGGAGCCATGCCTGCGGAACTTTGCCGGTCGTATGCGCTGCGCTCATCAGCGTGCCCTTGCCGCGGATACCAAGATTCGTGGTGCTCTCGACCCTCTTCGCCATACTGCCTATACTCGCGCTCTCTCTGCGGAGTTGAATATGATTCACGTGACTCTACTTGACATGGCTGTTCTCGCTCTCGAGCAATTAGTCCTTCTCTACGCGGCTCATCCGAGATTGAGCGTTTGCGCTTGTGCGCGCTTTCATCGGGATAATTAGTGGGTTGGTAAGATGGCCGTTCATGACCTAGCCCTGACCAGTGCTCTCTTTGACTCGTAGGGGTTTCTCCGACTTTGGGTTCCTGGGTAGTTATTTGGCGAATGGTTTGCTCCTCAGAGGCAGCGCGTACAGAAGCAGGGCTGCTTCCAGGCCTTTCGGCACCTTTTTGCTCGCCACCGTTTAAAGCCGTAAAGGTCGCCATATTTCGTCCAACAATATCTTCAGCCCAACAGCCTTGCGTGAGGTGCATAGGAATTCGATGGTTGAGATGTATATTAGTGGGCGATAATTACTGTACGATGAAGCCCTTTAACCAGCCGGATCTGCATTTAAGATCCAGTAAATCCGATGCAGGTGCCCTTTGAGAACTCTTAACTAATAATCGACGGCACGGTTCGGGTCGCAGCCGAAATATGCAGCCTTGGTTGGCGTATGGCCTGGTTGAAAAGGCCTGTAGAAAACCTAGAAAAAATGCCCAAGGGAAACAAAACAGGCCAACGAAGCCGCAAACAAAACCTCTGAAGATGATGGTGCACACAGCAATCGCGTTATGATCTAGCAGAACTTTCGAATTAAGATTCCTGAAGGTGAATGCTTTATGAAGAGTCAATATAAAGGGCTTGATTTGATAGAATTCAGATCCTTAATCGAAGTGCGCGTCGTGGAGCTGAACAATGGGTGATCTGCAAAGACTCTAGGTTTTGACTGCGATGAACTTCAAAAATGAGTGCGCGGGGAGGCAATTTTGTGCAAGCGAGCGGGATTGAGCCAGCCGCACCTCGTTCTTATCGAATCCAGCAGCGTAATACGACGGTGATTTGCAAGGGCTGATGCGGTACGTTGCGTAGTGCCGTGTTGCGGTGTAAGCAGCAGGCAAGCTCACAGGCTGCTGCGCCTAAAAGACTGCACGTTGGGTCTGCGCTGCTAAGAGGATTCCTATCCAGGGAACGTCGATGTTTTGTTAGTGATAGTTGGGCCGAGTATAGCTATCTTGGTTTCTGGACCGCGTGGAAAAACTCCAGACTATTTTCTCGTGAGGTCCGGCCCACGATGCAACTTGTCGAATTCGAACCAACTATAACGAAATTCCCGGCTTCCCACTCGTCCCTCGTGTTGGGATCCTTGACCCTTATTTAATGCGTACAAGAAAAAAGGACCTGCCAGCGCTTGGCGATTTGACGCGCGATTAACTCTTTGCCCTGCTGCGCCTGCGGGAATGAATGATTTTCGGATGCCTCTCGCTCTACTTGACCAACGTTGGGGCTAAGTGTCAACGTAGACAGCCCCTCTTCGCCTCCCTTCTAACAGCGATCAGAGAATACCACGGAAGAACCTAAAATGAACGGAGGGGAAAGAGAAGGTAAGTAAAATTGATTTGCAATAGTGCAATTGAGCAATAGTAATCAAGGTAGCACGTAGTAGTTGGCAGCGGTAGGGGGGGATATAAGAAAATATAAAGGGAAAAAAAGTATGTGGCTAGCCAGCCAGCAGAACCTAGGCGGAGCGGGAAGTTGATGGTTGATGGTTGATGTAAGGCAAGGATAG